ATGGATAACTGTGCAATTTGAAACATTTATTTGCAGTGTGTCCTGGCATCTTACAAAACGAACACATAGGCATGTTGGGATCTTTGAGGCATGTTTCAAGATAATGGCCTGCCACTTTACAGTAGGTACAATAGTACCTATCTTTCCTTTGTGACAGAGAGTTTTATCTGCCATTGTCTCTAAAATTCCCTTTATCTAGTAATGCCATTGTCTCATTAATAGATCCATCATTTGAGATCCATCTTCTCTTTTTCTCTTGTTGGATTATAGAGTAAACTTCATTCAGGGATGGAAAAGGCTTGTTCAAAAGTACTTGAGCCTTGATTGCTTTGTAAGATTCATCCAATCCCATCAGGAATTTCATCACCCAGTTACGGTTTTGATTCTCAATCACCACTTTCAGTCCTCCACACGTACAGTTAGGAACTAACTCGTAGTTTAACAACTCATTAAGGAGAGTTTTGAATTTTGAAAAATATACACTCACATCATCATGATTTTGGGCCAATGTTGTAATGGCTTGTTGGATCTCAAAAATTCTGGGAGCATTCTATTGAGAAAAACGTTGCTCCAACTCCAGCCATAGTTGGTGTGCAGTATCAGCATATGTAGTGCTACATTTGCTGTCCATGGCCATGGTATTTTGAAGCCAAGCACAATGTCATTGTACCTAAGCCAATGCTCCATCAGTGTGTCGTTTGGATCATGTGGTTCACATAGAGTGCCATCTATGAATCCCAGTTTATTTTTTTATCCTAAGAGCCCTCTTGATTGATCGGCCCAAGAATGGTAATTGTTAGCATCCAGTGTATGCGTTACCAGAATTGCACCAGTACCTTCATTGCTTCATATGTAGTATGGACTCCTAAAATGCGTTGGATCGTGAAGAGTGGTATTGTTGTTTTGAGTTTGATTGGTATTTGGTGGTACATTTGAAGATTCATTATCTGATTCTGCCATAAGGCTCTGATACCATGTAAATTTTGATACAGAAGAAAGGAATTATAAACAAACGATGGCTGTAAAGATATCTTCTATTATGAATCGATCAATGTACTATGCAAATTGCATCCTATATATATACAACACATGAGAGCTGAAAAAGGGGAAAGAGAAAATGGTTATGAAAGGAATAAAATCAAAGGGGATATCCTGCTCCATAACATAATCTATGAGCATTGTTGAACAAATCGTTGGTGACTCATCCTTCTAGTATCTTCTATTTTTACCATCAGCAAAGGGTGCTGATCCAACTTAGCTTGATGAGTTAGATGCCAAGTCATTCTTCCGTTGTTCAGCTCGTGTTCCAGCTGGTGCAGCTTCATCGTTCAACAGCACATAAATGTACGACTCAGACTTGTGGGACTATTGTTATACTTATAAATTATGTGGTATCGACTATTCATTGGATTGGGCTTATTAAACTAAATAATTTGCATCTTGGGCTCGGCTCATTATCCACGTGACCCATTTATATTTTCCTATAATATATATATATATATATATGTGTGTGTGTGTGTGTGTGTGTGCACGCGCGCACGCGTGTGATTTCATTCACAACCAAGGTATGATTTCTAACTCTATCCAAATTCCCTCTCCCTCCCTCGCCTCTCTTTTTCTCGCCATTTACTTGACCATCAGAGTGCAAACTATTCCCGGACCTTTTTCTTGACCGGCGGCCTTTGCCTCTTAACGGGTGTTCCAATATGTAGGTGATGTCTACGTGGAGGGAAGTGGATAGGGTTTCTGTTGGCGCATTTTTTGAGGTCAACAACCTCCATTAAGCTGTATTTGTGAACCACTTTTCTTCAATGTTGAATTCAGCTTCAGAACGCTAGTATCAGAGTCTAAACCAACCAGCAGTAGCACAGAAATTTGTTCAACATTAGACGAGCACAATGAAAGTGTTTTGAGTTCATAGAGCAAGATTCTTATTTGATGTATATGTTAACTATAATATCCTCTAGAGTTCTTATTGTAGAATTTCTGTTTCTCAGTACATATTACAATCCAAAATTGATATAATCTGAACATATTCAACAAATATCATGACAAACATGTGTTTTGGTTCTATTTATTTACAGTGCAGAAATTGTGTTCAAAAAATAATGCATCGTGCATTAAGAATTATGGTCATTATCAATTCTTAGAAGTACTAAAATGGAACTAGCTACATATTTACATCATTAAATTGCAATGAAGTTGTGGGAGAAGCGTTCGATCTGAGACTTCAAGATATAGCCGATTGAAAAATTAGATCTTCCAGATGAGGTTGGACGAATAATTGTTGTTTCATCTTTCACTGCAAGATCTATTGCACCCATTTCTCTCTTCATCGACTTTATGAAGTTCATGTCCACATTATTACCTGAAATATCCCTCACGTAGAAAGCATTCACCGCCTTCTCCCCGTGCGTCACTGTATCTGCTCTGACTACTGCTAGGCCGTTTTCCCTGAGAACACGTGTTATATCCGAGAGCAACCCCACTCTGTTGTACGCGCATAATTCTAAGCGAACACCCTGCTTGTTTAAATCCGAAAATTGAGAAACATAGACCGAGATTTGGACAATTGTGTAAAATAGTACAAGTACGGGAAAAATAATGTACATGTTAAGAGATATAATCTCATATCGAATAAAGATGTAAATATAAACCAACTTATAAAGAATTTGATTACTCCTCTTAGTAAGGTCGACATTTTAAGATGGAACCCCAAATTTTAACATGGTATCAGAGCTCATTAAGCTCTAACGAGCAATTCGATCCAGTTAAGACTCCAAAAGTGAGCATACGGATTTCAAGATTGGTCTGCTCAAACGAGCCACCATCTTGCGGGGACATGTTAAGGGATATAATCTTACATCGAATAAAAATGTAAATATAAACCAACTTATAAATAATTGGGTTACTCCTCTTAATAAGGTTAATATTTTAAGATGGAACCCCAAAAATCTTAATAATACATGCATTCAGAAGACACCCTAACTACTATTAAACTCATTGTGCTACATAAACAGGACATACCTCACAAACCCTGCGTTCTATGGCAGCTTCCAAGCATTTAATAACTCTTTCCTTCTCACTTTCTCTGTTTAGAGTGCATCCATCGATGTGTCTTATAAAGTACTCCTATGTAAGCATATTTTTTATCAAGAAATAAAGAGCAACCAATGTCATTTATTAGTGAAAGCTTAGCAATTTACCTGATATGCACAACCTCCACGAGAATCTATGGAGGCATGAAAAATCACATACTGCATATCTGTAAGTGTGCATACAGTATCAAACATAAGCTTTCTTCGGTCCTTGCATTGGATGGTAGCAATTGAATATCCTTTCTCATTACAACTCTCAATTGATACACTTGCCTTTTTTATCTCCTCTTCTTCGCTATCTGATCCCATAGTTATTGAATTTGCAGTCACAGCCTGCGAAGGCCCATCAAAGTCCTTAACAGATAGCATGAGTTGGTGCAAGCGTCGTTCTACGTTAGTCATGATGCCTAACTTCTCCATAGGAATGCCAGCAGGCTTCACTTCTTGCTGGCTGGCATTTTCGTCCCAGGTAGTGTTGGCTCTGAGGACAGTTGTCAGGTGATCTTCAATGGCATGGAGCCGGTGATCATCAATTGGGGTTTCCATGGATTGATCTGAAATGTAAGCAACACATGCCAAGCGTGCATTGTGGCTCCAAGCATGCGCTTCAACAATGTTGCAATGGAGATCAGCCAAGGCTGCTGATATCTCCGATAACAAACCGGGCCTGTCTGTTCCAGTCATTTCAATTGCTTTAGGCCTACCAGGATGAGGCTCTGAGCTGTTTCTGGCCTTTGACTTCAAAGTAGTGTCCCTATTAGCACCAATAGCCTGCATAACTTACCTTGGCATTACACGAGTTCTCAGACACCAGACACTCTTAGCTTTGTAAAGCCAGTTGGAGTTGATCGTTAACTGTATTACTACTAAGTTTGTGCTCTTCTATCCATGAATCATGATGTATTATTATTACTTACTAAACTGCTTTTACATTAAAATAATGTTAATTCTTTGAAGCCAAAGTTTTGATAGAGTAAGTTTTAACTAATTGTGCTATACCTATACGTGAACATGAATCAAGAATATTTGAAGAGGTTCAGAAATAGTGATATTACCTGCTGGATACAGTTTATAATTCTTTGATCAGTAATTTTGCTTCCAAGCTCATTTTTAAGGTGGAAAACTGTCAAATAATATATACATAAATCAACCAAATTAATCATAGTGATACAATCATACAAACAATACTTGTATCAATTTGTAAGAAATAATATTGAAGAGAAGCATCGATGACTACCATCCATGAACCACCCTGCATCAGACGATACATAGCTTTTCGATATAGTGAGGTTCATATCTGTCAACACTTGCACCACCTCCAGAAGGAGACCTTGTTTGTTTATGCTGTCAATCTGCAGCATATATGACTGGTTAGATTATTCTCATTTCCTTTCTTAACCATTTACACGAAGAGATTTATTGCACTTAATTACCTTAACAATAGTGCAATCTTCTAAGCTCTCATTGTCAATTGTAACTATGCAGCTGCAATGGAATAAAATAATTCCTAACATTCTTAGGCTGTTTCAATCATGTTATCATTACAGAAACTAAAAGATATCCTTCGGCATAAAACTTACGCTGGGCCATTTATTCTCTCTGTAAGGGTATCAAAATCAGGATCATAATAAGGCCAACAAACTCTCTTCATGTTGCGAACTGCAAATAAAATGTATAAATTAGAGCATATATTCTATGGGACAATGAAAATTATTTAACATTCATTAGGCAATTCAACAAGAGTACCTGTTGAGAATTATAACATGTATCAATTGAGGATTTGCACGTATAGTTTTTCATCACAATACAGATTAAATGACAGAAACTCAGAATAAGAAATTCGAAAAGAGATTCAACATGCATATGAAATGAAATCTAACAGAGTGATGCTCGTAGAAAGGAGAATTGAGAAGGGAATATCTTACTTGGGATTTAATTTGAGAGATTGTCAAGAATAGGAGGAGCTAATGTTACAGTTGAAGGAAGAGAACGATGTTGATGTGCATAATTAAATGAAGAGAAGGCAAGCCCATGATCATGACCAAACATGCAAATTTCTGGAGGAGAGAGAAGAATGAAAGTATTCAATTCTGTGTCTGTTGAAGAAAAAGTAAGAATGAAAATAAATATTAACCAGAAAAGAGGATGATCTGTTAAAAAAAAATAGGGATTGTGAATGAGAATAGCATAAAATGGATGGTTGAGTTTAGTTGAATGTTAGAGGCAAATGGAATTTATGAGCCAAGTTTAGATTGATTAAGTCATCTCTATTTAACAAGCAAAACATTTACTGTTCACAGAATTCTCCTCAAATAATGGAAACACTTCCAACATCTGTAAGTTTTGTTGTTCCAACTTCCAACATCTGTAAATTCTGATTACATAATGTTTATATCTTTGACATTAATTCCTATAAATTTGATGTACTAATTCAACATTTTTTTACATCTGATTCTGAAAAAGAAATCAAATTCTGTAAAAATTTACTACTGATTAATACTCTATTGTTGTTGACTAGTTTGGACAAGATCGAATCACGAAAGTAGTCATGCCGGGTTGGATCGGGTTAGGGACTTCGTTGGAAAATCCATTTATCAACCATAGTTCTTCGTCCAATTTTCCAACTCATGATGAGCAGCTAAAGAAATAGATAGTCATGCCAGTTGCAATTCCTTCATACTCACTCAGTAACAATAATGCAAGATTGCTATTTTCTAGAGAATGATCTACTTACCAATCAAAGTTCAGATTTGCTCCTTCACTTCATATAAAATAATTGTAGCATCAAATGCTATTATTGTTAATGATTCTAAATCACACCATTGATAACTATCATTCTTCTGAAATTGTCATCATAGGGATGTCAAAGGGCAGCTCGTGGCT